GGAAATAAAACGAAGATTAACGAGCTTTTACCCGAAATCCGATTAACTGTTAAGTTTTCATATAAAAGCCTCATATATACACATGTCTTAACGGAAGGCACGCTACACATTGCCAAGGATGAATTCCTCGAGCCTTTGGAATGGCTGTTAGGCGATTATTACGTGGAAATTGGAAGGTAAGGAATCTTTGGACAAGGGCTGGCTTTCTTAGCTTCCGTCGTATATCCTTTATCGCCAGACTCAGCCAACTACTACAGGGCAACTCACCGTCCCCTATAATATTAGCAAACAATGGAATCATATTTTGCGCTCCAAATACCCGAATTCGGCGGGTGCTTACGGTAGATCACTTAGAGAGATGTGAAGTGGCACAAAACCAAAGAACACTGCTGAAGAGGAAAAGCATCTCTTTAGCAAAAACACCAAATGCAGATCGATTTGATTTAGTAGTAATAAATAAAAATGAAAAGAAAAAAAAAATTGTTCCCTTGGCAGGATTCGAACTCGCAACTAACCGCACCACTTGCCGTTGCCTCTACTCAAGGGCCACACCAATAACTGAGTTTTAATGAGAACAAAACCAATTAAAATAACAGCACAGAAAACAATACAATCGCAATTGCATTGCTGTTGATAGAGTTCAAAGAAGGCGCGCATGAATGTGTGTGTGTGTACATGTATACAGAAATTCATGGAATTTGCGCAGCAGCTATGCTGCTAACACGTGCGCACATAACTTTAGTGTTTCTTAACCGATCTTAATGAAATTTTCGACAGTACATATTTTTGTAGAATATAATAAAGAATATTTGTGTATTCTCAATAATGCAATTGCATATAAATCGTGGCTTAAATTGATGGGCAATACAAGTTGGATAATTAACTTGATTTATAGCTTTGCGGTGGTAGCGGGGAGGTGGAGATAGGTATAAAATGAAAGATACTTGATATATATATACTATTCTAGAAGCTATATATCAAGTTTGGTGACTCTAGCTCTTATTATTTGCCGAAATTGCTCAAAAAACAAGATTTCGATATCGATTTTTATCGATTACTTGGAAACGGGACAAGTTATCGAATATCGGAAACAAACTCGATCTGCGCGGGCATTAGGAGGACGTACAGCTAAAATTTCAGCTAGCTCTTATAGGTTCTGATATCCTTGCGTTCATATATACGGACAGACGGACGGACATGGCTAGATCGACTCGGCTATTGATGCTGATAAAGAATATATACACTTTATGGGGTCGGAGATGCTTCCTTCTGCCTGTTACGTACATTTGCATAAATACAATATACCCTGATTACCCATTTTTAATGGGTTCAGGGTATAAAAATAGGGAATATGAATGGCACGCGGGTTGTTGTATGGAGCAACTCGACCTCCAATATACGGATATTTTATTAATCTACGCAGGAAACGAAATATTAACTGGACTTAAAAAGCCATTTTATATAAAAAAAAAAAAAGACAATGAATGACAAAAGTATGCATAACAGGTGCATGATGTAATGATGCACTACACTGAATAACTCACTAGACGCCATCCAAAACATCCAACCTCTAAAAAAATGTAGCAAGGAGCTTGTCATTTTTGCAGCTACTTACCTCAATGACTTCAGTTACTGGAGGAAATAAATAGGAATGCCCGACTAGGGGATCTTCTACCAAAATATCGCTTGGTCAAGCTTAACACATTTTATACACAGAACCAATTGAAAATGGGTAAAATGGGTATAATGTTTTTATGCAAATGTATGACCCCTCAAAGTATATATAAGTTAACGAAAGTAAACACAAACGATTACATTTGACACTGTTCACTATTATACAATGTATTGGTGCTGGCCATTCTGCCTTTGGTCACTGATGGTCGCGATCGTCGCGGAAGCGCAATATAAGACTTGCCGGCGTAGACTAGGGCTATCTAGTAATAATCATATACTTGTCAAATTAGTTTTTAACATATCCTGAGCTGACACAGTCACTGCAGCCGAGTATAATAAAGTTAGCTTATTAAAATAACAATCGCGTTATTTTTTGGCAAGGCAAGCCGACTGTCATCAATCAATTAATTTTTATTAATCAACCAACTAAATACTCGCCAAGAGTCTGGCCATAACTTATATTATTGGTCATTATAAATAGCCAACTAGTCAATCATGTTCGACTGACTTTCCCTCCGTCCGACTTGTCGTATGTGTTGATCTCAGAATCCATTAGAGTTAGACTTAGACGACTTTGATTGAGGTCCTAGTGCCCGCGCAGCACGAGTTTGTTACCGATGTCCGATAACTTGCCCCGTTTCTAAGCAATCTATAAATATATATATATGGAAATCCTGTTTTCGAGGAAACCTTTTCACCTAGAAACCTAGAGTCACCTTATTTGAAATGTAGCTTCTAGAATAGTATATACAATTGAAGTATCTTTCTTTTTTATACCCTTGCAGAGGGTATTATAATTTTGTCGTGAAATGTCTAACGCATAGAAGGAGACATCTCCGACCCCATAAAGTATATATATTCTTGATCAGTATCAACAGCCGAGTTGATATAGCCATGTCCGTCTGTCCGTCTATCTGTTTCTATGCGAACTAGTCTCTCAGTTTTAAAGCTATCTTTATGAAACTTTGCAAAATTCCCTCTTTCTGTTGCACGCAGTTCATATGTCAAAACCAGCTGGATCGGACCACTGTATCATATAGCTCCCATAGGAACGATCGGTCGAAAAGTAGGTTCTTGTATGAAAAACATTTTTGTTTATAAAGTTATCTTGACTAAACTCGGTATTTATTAGTTTTACTACGCTCCCCATATATATGCAAAATCCTATTAAGAGCGGACCACTATATCATATAGCTGCCATAGGAACGATCGGTCGAAAATTAAGTTTTTGTATGGAAAATTTTTATGTTTTTTAAGATATCTTGACCAAACTCGGTACTTATTAGTTTTACTAAGCTCCCGATATATATGCAAAATTCTATTAAGATCGGGCAACTATATCATATAGCTGCCATAGGAACGATCGGTCGAAAATTAAGTTTTTGTATGGAAAATTTTTATGTATTTCAAGATATCTTGACCAAACTCGGTATTTATTATTTTTACTACGCTCCCCATATATATGCAAAATCCTATTAAGATCGGACAGCTATATCATATTGCTGCCATAGGAACGATCGGTCGAAAATTATGCTGCTGTATGAATTTTTTTTGTTTTTCAAGATATCTTGACCAAACTCGGCATTTATTAGTTTTACTATGCTCCCTCTACTTATGCAAAATCTTATTCACATCGGGCTACTATATCATATAGCTGCCATAGGAACGATCGGTCGAAAATTAAGTTGTTGTATGGAAACCTGTTTTGTTTTTCAAGATATCTTAACCATACTCGGCATTAACTATTTTCCCTGTGCTTCTTAGATACGGGCAAAGCACTATGAGCATTTTGAAAAGGTTGGGTCTGCAAGGGTATTAAATCTTCGGCGTGCCGAAGATGGAACTTTTTTCTCGATTTTCCCTCGAAACAGAATTCTTCGTATGGCTGTGAGGTTTAAGGCGGTGGTAAAGTTGAATGGAGTTCAATTCGACTCAGATACAGGAGTCTATTTTTGATTTTTAACCAAGCGAGCTCGTAATGCGAGCTGTATTTGGTGTTGGTAGAGAAAGGTTTACGCTTACTGATTATTATTATTATTAAACATTGAACTCAAAAAAGCATTTATTTTGTTTATGTGAGACTTCGTGTGCCACTGTACAATTTGCTTTGAAGTATTCGTGAATCATAATTTTAACATGTTTACTTTAAAATTACTTTAAGACGCAGCACAAATTTGTATACCCCAGAACCCAATGCAGATGGGTAAAAAGGGTATAATGTATTTGTGCAAATGTATATAACAGGCAGAAGGAAACATCTCCGATCGTATTGTTGATCAGCATCAATAGCCGTCTGTTTGTCCGTCTGTCCGCCCGCCCGTTTGTATGATTGCAAGCAGCTCAGAGCTTGTAAGAACTAGAGACTTGAAATTAACGTATTTCTCCTAGTGCCCGCGCAGTAGGAGTTCATTTCCCGTTTCCGAATACTTGTCCCGTTTCTAAGCAATCGATAAGAATCGATATCGAAATCCTGTTATTTGAGCAAATGTCCCCCAATTTGACAAGTAGCTTCCAGAATAGAATAAATATACATATGTATTGGAACTACCCACCAATTTTAATGCAACTGTCTTTTAGAGAAATACGAAAACTCCAAAAATGTTCATCCAGATTGGTTAAGAAATAAAGAAGATACCAAGAAGCCGTATGCTTATACTGATATTGACAAGCCAAGTGTTTGTGTCAGCTAGCGCAAGCTGCAAGAATTTGTGTGAACATGTACAAACGTACATTCCAGATGTGCGTCTTTATTGAATTCTATAAACAGCATTGCAGTTGTGATTTTACTAAATCCTGTGCTGTGTTCTGCTATTTAAATTTGTGTTATATTGTTATTAAAAACAAATTATTTATTTATATGGCTGTCGAATAGAAACATTAGCAAGTAGTTCGGTCGGTAACGGGTTTAAGTCCAATTGAGGTTACTTATTTTTTTTCTGCACAAAACTAAAATACTCGGTTTACTAATGATGTTAAAAACTGTATCCCATAGAACAGACATTGTAATACATGCTTTTACCTAGATTCGACTGTAGTTTTTTTTAAACTCAAGTTGTCCTCAGTAAGTTACTTTTTAATAAAATCCAATGCATAAGCATACACACATGTAGCTCTACCCGTAGAACATATCGATGTTCTTATATTAGTGGTATAACGATATGTACATAAACATATTATACATAAGTTACAAGACTTTTAAGCGTTTTTTTTAAGAATAGCCTAAGCACACACTTCATTTTTGTGTCTCATACATATATGTACCTATATATATTATATTGAATGCAATTCGTATCAATGTATCAAAATTTGATTGAGGGACAACTTACAATATATGTACATACTTCTTTAAATCTGTTGCAACGACCCAGTATTAAAAACAAACAATATTAAATTACAATTGCAGCAAAGATGCCAGACTGTATCAATAAGTGTGACCGTAGTTTGAAAAAAATGAGTCCTTTTTAAAAATATGATGGGTGTTCCTTTCATTAGATTATTAAAAACAAATATTTTCGGATTTGAATGCATGTTGGTGTAATTTTTAAATAACATAAAGAAAACTTATTTCGATGTAACAAATTGCATATATTGTAAATATAACTTTAAGCTTAATGTAATAATTTTTTTGTACTAGCACTGCGTTTGCATCCACAACTATGAACAGTGCCTATTAGTTCAAAACATATTAAAATGGCTAGGGTGTTAGAATTGGCGAACGCAGACATTTGAAATTAGTCCAGACTTTAACCTGTCTATTTTTGCAATGTATTCAATGAACGGGTAAACAAACAGCAGTCGATTGGATGTAGAAGTGTATGCATCTAGAGTAGAAACGCTTTATGAAAGAAAAATATTAATAACATTCGATTGCAGAATAATTTTTTGTGGAAAGCCTATCGATAGAATCAGTAAATTTTTATTGATAAAATCAGCTGATATAATTTCATAACCCTACGCTGTGAAACTTGTATATTTAGAATTAAAAAAATTGAAATGCGTCTTACAAATAAATTATATGCACAACATATTGGATGGCATTTTAAGAAACACTGGCAGGTTCAAGGAAGGCGTGTGCCGAAGGAGACAGGTGCTGCCGCTGAGCTACTGAAAACGGGAATTCAACTAAAAACCCCGGAGGAAGTGTTGAATCCACCAATAGAGATCCAGTCGTAAGAATAGTCAATTTAATCAAAAAACAATTTTAATTTACCATGTTTGAACGTGCAGTGTTGACATTGTTGGAGCAGCTCGGAAGCCGATTTCTGAAGACCAATCTCATCCAAACTGGCATTCAACCGCGTGCCATCTCTTTGGGGATAACATTGTGCTACTTGGTGGATTGCCGCAAGCCCAAGTGCTGACTAATACGATTGAAATAAATAGTTTTCCACAAAAAATAGAGGATGCTATATTAAGTGGACAGTATTCAAAGGCCGTTGATCGAAATGTTCAAAATGCTATATTTTCATCCCATTTGCTGGATGCGCAACAAGTAAAATTGCCAAAGAGACGACTAATTGATCGACCAGCATATATTTTACCGCGCCTTTATGGAGTCTCCCACGAAAGACGCAAGTATGTTTAGCAATATTTGGAGATAAATAAATATACCCTCTACAATGGTATTAAAATATGCCGAAATACTTAAATTTTTCGTGTACTGTATTAGTGTCTGTTTTTATTTTAATAATGATTTATTTTTCAGTCGCCTCGTAATAAACAAGCTTATGTTTGAAATCGAGAAATTATGTGGCCGCTCTGCGACTTTGAGTCGGAAGCTTACTGATTATGTCACATTTCAAACTTCATTATCTAAGGACAGTGATTTACTCGCATTTACAATTACTGGAGATAAATTAATAAGCTCTTCCCGTGCTTTGAATGCTGTCAAGGGTAAATTTAATGGGGAATTACCAGATTTGTATCCGGTCAAATGCACAGTTTCAATGCAAAAGCAGCACATATACACGGAAAATAATTTCTATCGTAAGTTAACTTTTCGGTTATGTTGAAAACTATAAAATAATATTATACTTCAAATTTTAGCAATTCGCACTGAAATAAGCTGCTCCCATCCACATACAATTATAACGTTTTTTGATAAAACAATTGTGAATAACGTACACGGTGCTGATGTAACAAAAAGTCAATTTTATGGACGTACTATGCTGAAGGCTTTTATTGCAGCTGTAGCCCGCGCTAAACAGTTGTATGGTGGTTCTGCCAAAGGGGATCTTCAGAAACCAATTGTTGTACAATGCGTTCAGACGGACGGAAGAGTCTTTCATTTTGGGGTGTTCCAACTTAACACTCTTAATCTAAACTCTAACAGCACAACAAAAAACTATTGGTTCCATCGACAGAGTGTAGAATTGTTTGCGGAATGTTGTTATAAATCTGGAAGACCACACATAGAGGGGTACAACAGCGAACCTTTTTATATATTAAATGCGTTTTATCATAACTTTTAAGTATAAACCTAAACTTCCTTTCAAACATAAATATCGTTTTGTTATTATATAATGTGGTCGTGTCTTATTTAATCAAGAAAGAAGGGCTATCTTCGGCACGCCGAATATTTAATACCCTTGCAGACCCAACCTTTTCGTGATGCTCATAGTGCTTTGCCCGTACCTGAGAAGCATAGGGAAAATAGTTAATGCCGAGCAAGGTTAAGATATCTTAAAAAACAAAAAGATTTTTATTTAACTTAATTTTCGACCGATCGTTCCTATGGAAGCTATATGATGTAGTAGACCGATGTACATTGTTTTACATAAAAGTAGGGAACAAGTGAAACTTATAAATGACGAGTTTGGTCAAGATATCTTGAAAGATAAAAAAGCTTACCACCGATCGTTCCTATGGCAGCTATATGATATAGTGGTCCAATGTTGATAGGATTTTGCTTATATAAGAGGACCATAGTAAAACTAATAAATGCCGAGTTTGATAAACTAAAAAGCTTTTCATACTACTTTTCGACCGATTGTTCTTTATGGCAGCTATATGATATAGTGGTCCGATCTAGACGGTTCCGACATATGTACTGCGTGCAATAGAAAGAGAAGCTTCTGCAAAGTTATATGACGATAACTTTAAAACTTAGAGACTAGTTCGCATAGAAACATACTACAACCTTAATGTGAAAGAGATAGCAAGTGACCCTTACACCCTGTTCTCATTTCGGACCCTCATTACTTTAGACTGTGACTTGTCTCAAACGATTTGCTGCTACCCGGAGCAAGTGGGGCTCTTTTGATTTGCCATAACCTGTCTCCTATCAGGATGTTTGTAGGAGTTTGTACAGCAAGGGAAGGGGTGATTTCTCTCCAAAGTGTCCGCAGATCATTCCTCAGGTGCTATGGCCCCATCTTCCTTCTCGTCGATGACCGCGACGGCGCGTGTTCTCGCGGAACCCCGAGAAGTTCCTCGGCCTGTCGGAATAAACTTAGGCTGGTCCAGGCGACTAGTAACCCTTCAACAAACAACAAAGGGGCGCATTACCCTGCTCTATATGTTAGCAGTGTAAATTCCGTAAGGTATTTCCCGTAAAAATCCAAATTTCCAATTATTTGACCAATTTAAATTATGGTTTTTTCTTGGGTTTTTTCCTCATTGCCGATGTCTTAAATAGCAAATAAAACGAAAAACATTTCTGTGCTTTTTAATTTATTACATCTAACCACTGCCAGAGCTCAAAAACAATTGATGCTTAAAAACAGATCACGGGAGAGGCTTAATCAAATTGTCGCTGCTAAATACATATAAGCAAACGAAAAGAGCAACGAATGAGAGAGTGGGGGTATTCTTCAGCGTTCGCATTTACTACTCCATAGCAGCAAGAGCTACAAAAATATTGCTATGCTCTCACTATCGCTTTCTCTTTGAACAGAGCCGTAGCAGAGCCAGAGCCGAAAAATTAAAAAGCATTTGCTGTGCTCTGCTTGTAGCTTTGTCGCGTCATTGGCTATAACAATAGGAATAGCAAACAAGTAAGAGGTTCTAGCCGGGAGCTCCCGACTAGAGAATACCCTGAACCCTATTATTTTTATATACACATCAAATGCAGCACGCGCTACGCGGTCGTTTCCTTTATTACACACCAGCAAAAAAAAACGAGAAGGAAGGGCTATCTTCGGCACGCCGAAGATTTATAATTTTCATAATTCTAATAGTGCTTTGCCCGTAGCTATGATGCACAGGGAAAATAGTTAATTAACCGAGTATGGTTAAGATGTGTTGAAAAATAAAAAAGTTTTCCATACAACAACTTAATTTTCGACTGATCGTTCCTATGGCAGCTATATGATATAGTTGTCCGATCTTAATAGGATTTTGCGTATATATGAGGAGCATAAGAAGAAGAAGAAGTTCGAACTCGTAACTGACCGCGCTACTTTCCGCCTCCTGTACTCAATAGCCACACCAATAATTAAGCCTTGACGAGAAAAATACCAAGTGAAATAGCAGCACAGAAAACAATACAATCGCAACTGCAATGCTGTTGATAGAATTGAAAGAAGACGCGCATGAATGTATTTGCACAGCTGCTGCTAAGAACAATTGCGCAGCTGTCTAATACACATAGCTTTTGTTGGTCTCTTTAATCGATCTTAATGAAGTTTTCTAGAGTAGCGCTTTGGAATATTTGTGTATTCTCAAAAAGTCAATTGCATTAAAATTGTAGCTTAAATTGGTGGACAATACAAGTTGGGTTTGTCAATTTGATTTATACCCTTTGTGACGGCAGGGTTCGAACTCGTATAACTGATCATCACGCTACTTTCCGCCGCCTCTACTCAATAGCCACACCAACAATTAAGTCTTAATGTGAAAAAAACGAATTCAAATAGCAGCACAGAAAACAATACAATCGCAATTGTAATGCTGTTGATAGAATTCAAAGAAGACGCGCATGAATGTGCGCAGCAGCTATGCTGCTAACACGTGCGACATAACTTTTGTGTTTCTTAACCGATCGTAATGAAATTTTCGACAGTACATCTTATTGTAGAATATTACTTATAAAGAATATTTGTGTATTCTCAAAAATGCAATTGCATATAAATCGTGGCTTAAATTGATGGGCAATACAAGTTGGATAATTGACTTGATTTATAGCTTTGCGGTGGTAGCGGGGAGGTGGAGATAGGTATAAAATGAAAGATACTTGATATATATATACTATTCTGGAAGCTATATGTCAAGTTTGGTGACTCTAGCTCTTATTATTTGCCGAAATTGCTCAAAAAACAAGATTTCGATATCGATTCTTATCGATTTCTTGGAAACGGGACAAGTTATCGAATATCGGAAACAAACTCGATCTGCGCGGGCATTAGGAGGACCTTCAGCTAAAATTTCAAGTCTCTAGTTCTTATAGGTTCTGATATCCTTGCGTTCATACATACGGACGGACTAACGGATTGACGGACAGACGGACAGACAGACAGACG